CGCTATATAAGTACATGCCATTTACCATTTACCATTTACCAAAGGAGTTAAAGCATGTGTTAAAATATTGATCAACATTGGAAACTCAAGTTAATATGTGTGGAAAGTCAGATGACTGAATATATTGATAATACATTGTATCTTTTGATATTTTAGCATTTGAACTAATTTCAATTTGTTGAAGGTATGGGTTGGATTCCAGCTAGGGCTGAATGAGTTGGCCAAGAATCAAAATGGCGATTATTTTTAACCAATACTGTGATTTTATTTCAAATTTGCTTTGCACTGACCACAAGCTTGTAGATGTTTTGTTAAAAGGATTCACGTTTTTGTAAATTTAAAGCTTACTTATCCAGCCCATTGTTGCAAGAGTTTAGAGTATCTTTGTGTGAAATATCGCTTGCTTCTGTTATGCATTAATAAGTGTGCTAGCTGCAACTCTCTCTACCTTTCTGTGTGGCGGCAAACTCCTTTCGCCTGCATTCCTGCCACCTAAAAAGATACCGTGACAAATTTCCTATTTCCCTTATTAAATATAAAGCAACAAAAATTGGAGTGCCACTGCGATTTGAAAATTGCATTTTGTTTATTGTGATTATATTGCAAATGCAATGAATTGCCCAGCCCTAATTCAAACACACAGGTTTACAAAGATTCTAAAAAGTTATACTTTGGCTTATTTTGTCTGTGATACAATTTCAACAACTCAGTTTCAAGAGAACACATTGTATAGACAACTTAAGTGATTCATAAACACATAGTAAATGGATAAAAAAAATGGATCTTAGCAACTATATGATGAAAGATTGAAGTGCTTTTCTATTGCATCACCCTCTTGTCTATGTTCATTTGATTTTTTTTTCCAAGATGTTACAGCCAAGTGAAGATGCAAAAGCCCTTTTAAAGCCACGAGGTGTAAAATTCTCATCTGCATTTTGCATATTAAATGCATTAAAAATATACAGTCATGCAGGGTGTGCTGCAACCCAAACTCCTACGTAGAGCCTTTTCAATTTCATGCTAGAAAACGATCTGGATACTCTCCATTATCATAATCAACAGGAATTGCAATTCTCTTTATCTATCCTTACAGAAGAAAAGCTAATGAAAATTCAAGGGCACTTTAGGGGTAAGATTCCTGCCAGAATTGTATCACTATTTTGCAATTTATGCCATCAAGCACCAGTCAAACTGTGCTAAACAGCTCATGAACAATTAAGTACCAGTTAATTAGCAATTACCATATAGGCAAACAAGCACGACTGAAGAGATTAAACAACACTTTAGAAATTAACATCAGTAGAATCTTACTTTTTATTTTAGATCAAGTTGAATAGCAAATGTTTTGTGTTATATTATTGAACAGATATTCAGACTAAATGATTGAGCTGTTTCCAAAAGAACAGAGAGCTACTAACTGCATCTAGATGAAATTTCTGGTTTAGCGCTTTTGACTGGAACCAGCATTTTATATCATTTTGAACTTAGCAGTTGATAACCAGCAGTTAATAACCACTAGAGTTTAAAGAGCAATTCACTTGGAGTACAAAGTAAAGGTAATAACACTGCTTTTTGATCTTATGCTACGTTCAGACCACAAGCAGCAGGAGTAGCCAAAGCATCTTTGCGGTTCTAGCTGCGTGGTCGAAAAATGGGTCTGATGCACGTCATGTGTGTATATATATATATATATATATATATATATATATATATATATATATATATAGGATGGTACGGTTTATGAAAACCGTCCGAACCATTCAGTTCGGTTCGACTGTCTCGGTTCGGTTCGCGTGTGTTTCGTTCGGTTCATGCGCTGCTCATTTTTCTCATAGAGGAAGCGATTACACTCCAGAGCGGAAGGTGGCGGTACTGCGACCAAAGTCAACCACCAGTAGTAAACAAGAAGAAGAAGAAGCGAAGCAGCTTAGCCGGGTGTAGCAGAAAAAAATCAGTTGTTGTGGAGAATTGTGTGGGTATGGCGAGTGGGAAAGAACAGGAGTTGGAAGACGCGCCAGCAGCACTTTATAGGTCTGCTGTATGGGACCGCTTTGCATTTAGAGTGACCTACGATGACGGCGGAAAGAAAGTTGTGGATAAATGTGCAACAGTGTGCAAGCATTGTGCAACACGTTTTGTTTATGCTAACAGCAACATGACAAACATGTCAGGCTAACCCCGAAATCCCACATACTCCGTCAGCGCTCCGCCGCACTCCAGACCGCCTGCACAAAGCAAAGCCTAAAGCCTCAGCTGCGGCTACCAGCCGCTCAGCTCTGAGTTCCTTGGAGATCATAGAGGGCATGCGCGAGATGATTAAATTCAAAGCAGCAAAACATGCGGAAATGATCCATGGTTTCCGCGGATCATTAAAAATAAATACAATTCATTATTTTTTGGGGATTTTTTCATTAATTTCATACATTTTCATGTTTTCATTCATTTTTCCATTATATTTTTATTCATTAATTTTATAGAAGCATATCAAGGCTCTGGCGTGGCCTTGCCATTCTGCAGACCTAAACCCAATAGAGAATCTTTGGAGGGAGCTCAAACTCTGCATTTCTCACGACAGCCCAGTAACCTGCCTAATCTAGAGAAGATCTGTGTGGAGGAGTGGGAAAAAATCCCTCCTGCAGTGTTTGCAAACCTGGTGGAAAAACTACAGGAACCTCTGTTATTAGGCTACTGTACCAAATATCAACATTGATTTTCTCAGGTGTTTAAATACTTATTTTCAGCTGTATCATACAAATAAATAGTAAAAAAACATACATTGTGATTTCTGGATTTTTTTTTTTCTAGTTTAGATCTCTCACTGTGAACAAGAACCCACAATAACAATTTCAGACCCCTCCATGTTTTATACGTGGGAGAACTTGCAAAATACTTATTTTTCCACACATGTGGGTGTGTTTGTGTGTGTGCGTGTGTGTGTGCGTCTTAATAAATATATATATATATATACAGGTGCTGGTCATAAAATTAGAATATCATGAAAAAGTAGATTGATTTCAGTAATTCCATTTAAAAAGTGAAACTTGTATATTATATTCATACATTACATACAAACTCATATATTTCAGATGTTTATTTTGTTTAATTTTGATGATTACAAATGACAACAAATGAAAATCTCAAATTCATCATATCAGAAAATTAGAATATTGTGAAAAGGTTCAAAATTGATGGCCCCTGGTGCCACACTCTAATCAGCTAATTAACTCAAACGACCTGCAAAAGCCTTTAAATGGTCTTTCAGTCTAGTTCTATAGGCTACACAATCATGGGGAAGACTGCTGACTTGACAGTTGTCCAAAAGACGACCATCGACACCTTGCACAAGGAGGGCAAGACACAAAAGGTCATCGCTAAAGAGGCTGGCTGTTCACAGAGCTCAGTGTCCAAGCACATTAATAGAGAGGCGAAGGGAAGGAAAAGATGTGGTCGAAAAAAGTGTACAAGCAAGAGAGATAACCACACCCTGGAGGGGATTGTGAAACAAAACCCATTCAAAAATGTGGGGGAGATTCACAAAGAGTGGACTGCAGCTGGAGTGAGTGCTTCAAGAACCACCACACACAGACGTATGAAAGACATGGGTTTCTGCTGTCGCATTCCTTGTGTCAAGCCACTCTTGAACCACAGACAGCGTCAGAAGCGTCTTGCCTGGGCTAAAGAGAAACAGGACTGGACTGCTGGTGAGTGGTCCAAAGTCATGTTCTCTGATGAAAGTAAATTTTGCATTTCCTTTGGAAATCAAGGTCCCAGAGTCTGGAGGAAAAGAAGAGAGGCACTTCATCCACGTTGCTTGAAGTCCAGTGTAAAGTTTCCACAGTCAGTGATGGTTTGGGGTGCCATGTCATCTGCTGGTGTTGGTCCATTGTGTTTTCTGAGGTCCAGGGTCAACGCAGCCACATACCAGGAAGTTTTAGAGCACTTCATGCTTCCTGCAGCTGACCAACTTTTTGGAGATGCAGATTTCATTTTCCAACAGGACTTGGCACCTGCACACAGTGCCAAAGCTACCAGTACCTGGTTGAAGGACCATGGTATCCCTGTTCTTAATTGGCCAGCAAACTCTCCTGACCTTAACCCCATAGAAAATCTATGGGGTATTGTGAAGAAGAAGATGCAATACACCAGACCCAACAATTCAGAAGAGCTAAAAGCCACTATTAGAGCAACCTGGGCTATCATAACACCTGAGCAGTGCCACAGACTGATCGACTCCATGCCACGCCGCATTGCTGCAGTAATACAGGCCAAAGGAGGCCCAACTAAATACTGAGTGCTGTACATGCTCATACTTTTCATGTTCATACTTTTCAGTTGGCCAACATTTCTATAAATCCTTTGTTTTTATTGGTCTTCAGTAATATTCTAATTTTCTGATATGATGAATTTGAGATTTTCATTTGTTGTCATTTGTAATCATCAAAATTAAACAAAATAAACATCTGAAATATATGAGTTTGTATGTAATGTATGAATATAATATACAAGTTTCACTTTTTAAATGGAATTACTGAAATCAATCTACTTTTTCATGATATTCTAATTTTATGACCAGCACCTGTATATACACACGTAAATAGATACATATACATAAAATGTTCTTTTTCCACATCAAGCTTAATTAGTTATATTATGTCAGAGAGTTAGAAAAAAACGGAGAAAAAGCTGAATCATTGCTGATTGAATTTCTGTGGAAGCTTAGTCAGACTTTACTTAGAATCTCTGATACATCCCATGACAGATTCCATACGTTCATGGATGCATGGATGCATCTTGGCACTACTTCTAGACCAAAACCTCTGGCAATCATGTCATAAACCTCTGTGTAATTATGTCATCACCACAACTTGTGCAAGCAGAATTTAGAACATGCTTGCCTTAATAATGTCTTGAAAGGCATCAAGATCAGGGAAAATAAGTAAAGTTTTCAATGCAATAAATGAATACATTTGTATGAAAGAAAAAAAAAAAAAAAACCTCACCGGTATCATCCAGTTGGCTAAGTCTCCATGTTTTGACACCTGCATGGCTCCCAGCATTGTCAGGTTGATGTGACCCCTTAAGAGTGACACAACAGAGGAGGACAGCTGTCAGCTTTGGGAATCAGTTAAACTTATGAACTTAGGTCCTTCATGAGAGAAGGACAAGACATTTTATATACTCTAAAAACAGTCAATGATTATTAATCTATAAAAACATGAAGAAAAAAAAAAATAAATCACACAAAATTAAGCTGACTAATCTCTTCACCACTCATTTTATGAGGCCAATTTAAGCAATACTTTATGTATTTTAAGTACATGTTTTATGGCTATAAATGGACACCTTAGCATGGCTGGCATCTAATTTAAATAAGCTTATTTTTATTTTATTTTTTTTAAACTGCAGTTTGCAAGGTAATTTTATTTTATGCATAAAATTCAGCCTATTATAAACAGTCATATAAAAAAGCTAATTTTTGGTCAAAAATGGATGAAATATCAAGCCAAGAAGATCTGATGCTGTCAAATAGCTTTGAAACTAATAAAAATCTGCGAAGATAAAAATGCTACGCTAAACACGGAACCTCCTTCAAATGCTGTTGAAATGTTTTATTTTCTGTTTAATAAAATCTGAAGAGCAGAACCAAAACAAAAATTCCCTTCTTGTGTTTCCCCAATACTTCTTCAATGCTTAAAAAAGGGTTTTACACAGAGTTACTAAAATAATTAGAATATTTTAATGAATCCATAGAATGAGAAAAATTCCCAAAACTCCTGTTAGGGTACTTCATATTTTCTATATTTTTAACAGATATGAATATAATATTGTTAATCCCAAAAGACTGAAGGAAAAATGACTGGTTGATGGCAATGTAAGAATATAAGACAGAATTTTACATGACACCGTGTGTTTTGTGATTCTCCATTCATAATGCGGAGCTTGTCTTTGGAAGCAGGGTTGCGCACACAGCTGATTTATTTAGTCTGTCTCTGAAAAACAAAAATGGCATGCCTGAAACTGCCATCTGCACACACAGATCAAATACATTGGGGTGGGCTGTTTTTGGATTATTGGAACGCCCAACTCTTTCTTTTGCTTGTATAGAACCCTTTCACAAGCTCTCTTTCAGAAAATTATAGGGTTCTGCATCAATTTCAGATTTCCGGTTTCAGTAAAACTCTGACCTACCAAGTATACCAATACATATGAGAAGCCTAAAAATGATTCCCTTTTAGACCAGCTGCCTTAAGTGGTCATTAATTATTTATATCGTGAGCACAATCACGCTGTGTTTGAGGAAGGACTTTCTGTAATCGTTTGCTATTACGGTACTTTAGATCAAAGACAAAAAAAATGAGAGGAAAGCTAAAATGAATCAAGATTTATAAAGCTAAAGTTTAAGCAAATGCAGTTTAAATTCCCCACTTCAAGCAACAATAGTCAAATGACCAATCACAGCAGCTTAACTTATTCAAATTAGTGTGCCTTAGCAGGTAGCAATCCATCTCATTTTGACATGTTTTTAAGCATCTCCCCTGTGTCTGTAACGTATGACTCAAAAGTGTCCACAAATTAATCTCGGTTCCTTTTAGTCTCAGCCAGTGTGACTGGACGTTATATTGTTTATGACCACTATTGAATTTCCTCTGGGTGGCAAAACAAAAGTAATGCTGCAGGGAGCACGGGTGGGCAATATCATTCAGCAGGCAAATCAATAAAAACAAAAGACTTGGGATTTATTGACATGGCTGCTGTCTAGTTGTGCTGGTGACAGCAGCCATGTGTTAATACCTAGTGTTTCATCTTCATAGCTTTAGAGAGGTGGTTTAAATTAAATGAAGGATCTGTGGCACTTCTTTCCTCATTTCATGGGGTTGAGTCAACACATTATAAAAAATATATTCTAAAAGATATATATTGCAAAGTTTTCCATTAAAGCTCACCCATAACTAACTTTCATTCTGCAAATAAACTTTTCAAAGCTTGTCTGTCAGGGTCTTACCCTCGGATCATGGCAAATGACTCATCACTGGAAAAATAGGCGGCGCCAGGGAGTACAGTGACAGTCTCCTTCCCTGCAGAATAGGGGCACAAAGTGCTCATGTTAATACATTACAGCAATAAATCCAACAACACACACTACATGCAAACACAACATAAAATGAAACTATGGTAGATCAAAGTCTGAATTTAACCGTCAAATAGGAAAGAATGTAGATAGATAAGATTGGTTTGCAAAAATACTCCGATCCCTTTTTACTATTTCTCAATCATAACTTCAACGTCTTTTAACCCTTTATAGCGCACTCAGCGAAACACTTTGAAAATCTAAATTTCAAGCCAATAGTGTTATTGGAGGACAGGACAAGACCTTATTACTTTTGTAACATTCAAAAATATGGATATTTTGATGGCAAAAATCAATGTCACTGTAATAACAAGAAACAGCCAATTTCCACAATATATGAAGAAAATAACAAAAGTGCTTTTTTTAAAGAAATTAATGAAAAACACTCAAGAGTGAAAGAAACACATTTTCTTGTTAAATCGTAACCATAGAGGCATTAATGCTGATGCAGGCACTTAGACTTTTTACTGTTTAAATTTAACTTTTGAACTTAAACTTTAAATTTTTTAATTAGCTTTTTAACTTCCTTTTTCAACTTCATTTACAGTAGGTAATACAGTATATCGTTCAAAGGCTCATCTAATTGGTGAAATTACTCTTACTAAGGGGTATGCAAGTGATCAGAAACGGTAACTTGCCCTATAAAGGTTACATAAACTTTGTTGCTGCAAATGGGAGGAAAAGCAATAAGACTAGAAATCTGAAATGTTTTTGAAAGCATGGCATGCAAACGGTTTCCAGACCAGGGGTCAGTGTTTTGCTGGAACAGACATCACTGCAATAAGAGCTTCATTGAAAAGCTTTACCTTTAACAAATTAGAATGACAGCATCTACAAGCATCAATATTCAAGTGTTGCCACAAACTCTGAACTGGGTTTAGATCTAGACTTTGACAGGACAATTGTAATTAATTACTCTTGGTTCTCGCCAGTGTATTTCAGCGTAACGGACCAATACACCATCTTCTTTTTATTAGAGTAACATCCCTTCTGATGACATTTGGGCTTACTCCGCAGATAATTTCAGCACATTAGAATTAAAATGGAGTTATGCCGATACCCTGATTTTTAATGAGCATAACAGCCATGTAAATGGTGTTTTCAAATACCTTTACCTCATTTGCATAGAGACATGGAGTATTTTTAATTACTTTTTGTTTTGCCAATGTTGATTTAGCTAGAATATGAAAATGATGTGATGTAATCTTTGTTAGGCTCATAAAACAATCCTTGAGACTACGCTTTTGTTTAAATTATTACATTGTGTTTACGGTTGGAGACTTGTTAAAAGGTTGGCTCTGGTTAGAAGGGTTTTCTCTGCCACAAACACAGCTTTGCATGTGCATTTTTTTTACCGAACTGCACTAAAGGCTCTAATTTTGTATAATCTGTTATTTTGAAAATGTCTTATAGACAATCTTTGATGTTGTGTAATAAACCCCTAAACCCTCAGCAGAAAAACTGCATAATGGTGAGATAAGATTGTAATTTTTTTAAATAAAAAAAAAAAACCACAAAAAATTGTTTTCCCGCTAGACCTGATTTAAAACATTTATAAATTACCGCATGATATCCAAAGACACTGTCTAAGTTCACTTGCGCCGCCTTTTCTGTTAATATGGTAAAGCCGTTCGGAACGCCGGGACCAGGCTACATGTGATACAAATTAGCCAATGAGCTGTGTCAGTCTGGGTCGTGATATGATATGTGCTTGAGAATGGTTTTGTCGCCATTCAAACCCAGTTTAAAAGCCGGAAGCCTAAAGCCAATTTTTCTCACTAAGCCATAAAAAAAGAATGGAAAAAAAAAAATTTAAAATCACAAACGGTCAGTTCAGGTGTTTTATAAAATATCTGAATCATGAAATTGTCTATATACCATACTGAACAATTGTTGTTTCCTACTTAAAAATAAACACTTTATATTAAAATGGAGGAAATTTCCTATTTCGTTTTTGTTTTATTTAAAAATTCAAAGTATAACATGGATGCATAAAATCTTCATTTTATTTCAGTGTTAAATTCTGTTTAAGGTAACAGGTTATAATTAAAAATATCTCCGGACCTTTACTGGTTGATGATTTTTGTTTTATTCGGGACCCACGCTGATTTTTTATTTCGTTTTGTTTTAGTTTCCCTCACTCCAGACTACATGTTTAATTGAATGGCAATTTGTATGGCAAATATACTGTGTTGGACCTCAATCAAGCATATATAGGAGAAAAAGGTGAATGTTTTAAGAGAAGCTATCAATTAATTTGATACAGTGGCAAGAGTAAATACAAACTTTCTCGTAAAGTCTCTCGATCTATTCATAATTTAGTATGGTGTACTTTAAATTCATATTTAATCATAAATGTATCATTCAGGGTATTGATCAATAAAACTCACCGGCATTAATCAGGTCTGCATCCACTTCATTTTCAGTGGGGTAGGGTCCCTATCCAAAAAGAAATCAAACATGAGTGTGCACACAGGAATGCAGGCATACATCCACTCACACACACGTCACTCATCCTGCCCAGCCATGATCTTCCAAGAGAGAGACAGATACAATCACATCTCTCTGATTGGGTTAGACATTGATTTTTTTCCCCCACTGTGTACAACAAAGTGAGCAATCCTTTCACCTACTAAAAAACAAAAACAAAAGAATGGAGAAGAAAGATGGGTACCTCTTCAAAAAAAGGCCCTTTGAAATTAAAGGAAGGAAAAAAAAAATAATAATAGAAAACCGCATAGGCGCCCACATACTCCTGTAAACAACAAATTAAACAGTCATTCCACAACAGCCTTTATTAGGAGGCCTAGGCCACAAATGCTGTCTGGGACAAAGAAAAATGGAAGCAAAATGTGTCAAACTGCCACGGCTGTTATATGAACCTTATGAAGCTCAAATTAAGACCAAAAAGTACCATAGCAAAGACCAAATTTAATGTGTGACTATTCATCTTGCCTGAGACTCAAAGCAGATTTCAGAATTAAAACCTTATTTGCTGTCTAAATGGGCTTTCATGCTACTCAGTAGCTCTGAAAGCAGAGGGGAAAACTCTTACCAGTCCCAAAAGTCCATTTTCACTTTGTAGGTGTACAGTGATGTCTGGCTTGATGAAGTTACTGGCCAGCATAGGGATACCAATACCCAGGTTAGCTGTTTTTATCAAGTTAAAAAAAAAGTGATTTGCATTTATAAGACAGAGGTCAACAATGAGAATGCAGATTAACTGAAATAATCATGGTATTTTAAATGGGCTTTTAAATATTTAAGTAAAAATAATGCTCTAGACTCAGCTTTCCCGAATTATCCGTCATGTGAAATCAGTTGATAAAGTTTATTTATGGAAAATATGGGTTTAAATATATGTAAAATAAATAAAAAATAAATAAATAAAAATCAAAGTTAAGTAAAAATGGATAGAAATCACAGTATACCATCAGATGGTCAAGATGTTTTAAAGAGTTGATAAGGCAAAATAGTTTCCCAGGGCTTTGGAGAGGAAACCATCCTCAGGTATCACAGATCCTTTACTATTCTAATGGGTAGTCAAGAATGTCAAAGGATACCATACATCCCATCTTCAAACTCCAGCGCTGCCCTGCGAATGATCCTTTCCCGAACAATGTCTGAATCCTTCTTTGGTTTGGGTTTTTCTTCTTGGCTTTTCCTCACAGTGCGTTTCTGAGAGCGTACAAAAATAGATGAGAAACAGCATGATAGCACCTTGGGAGTCTATTTTTGCCCAAGTGCAAGGACACAGGGATAAAACATTGAGTGTGTGCTGTTACAATCTTAACTGGCCCTTGCAGTAAAAATAATGCACATGCAGAAAGAATGGCAACATCATCCTTCTGTCATATCCTTTTATCTGTGACACTGATAGGACTTGTTACCTCAATTCTTTTCTCATAGCCGCCTCCCTGAACAATCCTGTGGACATAGATGCTGGGTATGTGTATGTCCTCTGCAGCAAATGTTCCAACATCCACCACCTCCTCCACCTGTAGAGAGACGGTAATCAGCACTGGCTTCATCTCAAAAATTGACATACTATCCCTGAGATTGAAAGCAGAGATAGAAAAACTATGCATAGCTGGAGTTACAGCACCAGAAAATAACCCCTGTTGCAAAGCAAAAAAAATTCAGCAAGATGGTACAAAAAAAAGAAATTTCCTGCAGACCTTTTGCACCCGTACAGCAATCAAGATAATTTTATCTCCAGACAGTATAATTATTTCTAAGATTTGTTTTTTTAAATGGATCTTTACAGATGAGAAATAGAGAACTTAATGATTGATTAATAAATCAGTTTAGAGTGCCTTGCAAGCTGTTGACAATCATAAGTAGCCTTTTAAAAAAATGATGTGATGTGAGATATAAAAAAAAAAAAAAGAAAAGAAATAAAAAAAAATAGAAGAAGAGTTGATGGCTTTCCCCAAACAAAATGTGATGTATCTAAAGGATCACCAATAGTTACTGTAAAAAAAAGCGATTCCTTGTTAAATAAGATTTTTTGTGTACATTTTAACTATGGATATTTGCTCTATTATTGCATTATCTTAAACAAATAAAAAAAATTGACAGATGGCCAGTATGAAATGTTCCATGTTAGAGGCTGTCATCTTTTAGTGAATAAGTTCTTATCAGTCAGTTTGTTTCAGAAACTGAGGTGATATATTGTAGCAATATGTACCCAAAATAGCAGGATCTTTTTGTAATATATTTTCCCTAAATCTAAAGTCATGTACAAGATCTTTCAGTAATTAGGATACTAAAATAAAAAATTGTGTAGATAACATAACCTTTTAGACATAGCAATTATGTTTTATCAGTTTTGGCATTTTAATGTTTTCTATTTACAATTTGGATATATATATATATATATTTTAGAGAATTCTACATAATACAACTACCAATTTCTATATTGCAATAATTTGTTAGCCTTAAAGCTACAGTGTGTAATAATTACAGGGATATACAGTTAGAAATGTAATATATTATACATAACTATGTTATTTATCATCATCTACGAGCTCAGCCTCTTAACCTTAATATTTGCGTTGCCTTAGAATTCGTTATTTATAATTACATAGGAGCGGGTCTCGCAGCCATGGAGGCAGACATCTTTGCGCTACGGCAGCGCAGAGCCAACAAACTAGCGATTGCGAGATCGCCAAAACGTCACAACGATGTAGAAAAAATAACGGGTATATTTATTATCTTAAGTCTACATGAAATCCATACCCTACACAGACTAATGAAATACTATCTGTAAAATTATCTATGTAAACAAACCTCATCACTTGAGAATGTAGGTGATGCGGACGTCGTGGAAGACATTTTGTCCCGTAACGCTCGCTGTACTGTTGGGGGGGGAGAAGCGGTGGGGGGGGGGGGGGGGTGTTCATGTTGCTGTGGTCTGCAGTCTGACCGCTAGATGTCGCTAAAAGTTACACACTGTAGCTTTAAGTAAAAGTAAAAAAAAAAAAAAAAACATAGTTGAGTACATAAAGGAGTATTGTGCAGGGTCCTTCCTCCCTGCAGCTTTTAGACTCCTAACCCTTCACTGCTTCAGAAAATTCAAGATAGTTGTTTAATCCCTGCTATTATTGGCACAAATTTCCATATTTTTGTGAACAGTCTATTTCTTCCCAAAATATGAAAAGCACAGCTTGCACTTTTAAATTGCTATTTTTTTTTATTTTCTTTAATTGTTCATGTAAGTCAATATTCCTTCTATGACTACTGTTTATCTGTAGATGTAGCTGCGTGCTTCTTTTTGCACGTCTTTGCGGCTTTAACACTTTAATTTCCACATTAGATAAAATAAAGGATATTTTTATAACTATTATATTAAATTACTATTATATTATATTACTATCACTATTATAACTATAATCACTATTATATTATATTACTATTGCTTTTAAGATCTTTTTCTTCCCTCAGATCAGGGAATCTGGCCAGAGTGGATGGGACAACCCTGTTCAAGTAATAGGACTAGGCTTGGAGGTGCACTTTCCAGCTAGATAGGAACCCTAAACAGCCAGAACAACAAAAAAAGCATTATAATGTTCTCGACTTGCTAAGTATATGTTCAGACTTAAATCTAAAGTTTAGACCTTTATTTTCAGAAACTGTAAAACATGCATCCCTTTCCTTCCACTTAAGAATTATCCAAAACTGTGTGTTACACTACCACATAAAACCCTAATTTAAAAAGCTGATTTTTTTTTGTAATTTAAGAAAAACATTCAAGGTTTATGACAAACTAAAGGTGAGAAAAACAATCCCATTGCAGTGCAATAAGCTTTTCCTCCTATTCAATAGTCTGCCATTCTCCACAATTGATGTATGCTGTACAATTCACGATAAAAAGGGGGCCAGTATTAGTCAAGGACTCTAAGTTTATCAAGCTGTTAGTCTAGAATCTTTATAGAGACCAATAATAGCTGCCTATGTACACAAATCCAGCTGGGATATCTGAAAAGAGAAGAGGATCACCTGACAAAACAAGCATAGGATATAGACCCTGATCCAGGGATCAAAGGCAGCAGAAAGCAGAGGTGGAAAGGAAAGACTGTACCAGAGTATCAAAGACTAAACATGTGGCTTCTCAAAAATAAGCTTGATTAAAAAACAGAGTAAAATGAAAAGACTAAATAAACCTTATGCTTCAATTACCCTCACATTTAACACAGCATTAGAGTATTATGAAGTCTACAGTGAACAAAGCAATATATTCTGGGCTTAAGAACACGAGTGCATCAGCTTTTTGTATAAAGTGTGAAGCACCAGCAGAAAAATGTACATAAGAGATTATTTCTGTCTGTCGACAAGGACAGAGATGGAAATGGTTATTGATTCAACCAGCGCTGGGTCAACATGACTGGTAAAGGAATCCCACAAGAAATGCAGCTGCTCCCTCCTCTCCTTAGGTAAGATTAGGCCATGTTTAAAAGCAGGCTTCCAACAGCCTGCAGCCTAACAGGTGTGAGAAGGGAGAGCTGCAGCATAAATGGATTTCACTAACCTTATCAGCCATTTGTTTTCTGCTGAAAGCCTTTAGAAAATTCTGTGTTTTACGTTTTACCATTAAGCAAGAATGCATCTGGAAAAGTATTTATTTGGAGTAAGGATTTAACATCAAGAAATGTGGGGAAACAAGTATTTTGAATGTCCTCTGGATGTACTATATAGATGTTTCTTTTGTTTTTAATTTAAGCTGCATATCCTCAGAGGAAGTCAGGCGGTATTATTAAACTTCCATCTTTTTAATATGAAGTTGATGCAGCCTTTCTCCGTTGCTTTTCATTGGTGCAAACCATTTTTACAGTACCTTACTACGGTAAACAAAATAATCTTTAAGTCCTCCCCACAGAATGATACTGCTACCACCCTGTTTTACAGTGTTAACTCCATCTTCAGTGAAGTGCAAAGTTAATATTCCTCATAAATCGTCATTTCAATGTAGTGCACGACGTTTCATTTTGGTTTAATCTGACTATAGGGTATTCTTACACATGTATGCTTTGTTCCTTGCATGGTTTATTGAATGTCTGTTGCAGGAAGTAAATGGTTGAAGCTACAATGTGTAAAAATAAATCTTAAAAATAAATAAATAAAAGATAAAAAATAAATAAAAAAATACAAAAACGAATTAAAAAGCAATCATATTCTGTTGATTGAAAGAGAATTTATCCATGACAACACAATCACTCCGCCTCCCTCCTACTTTTCAGTGCTTTTCTTCCTGTGCAGCTCACTGTGTAACCTACTTATTCCATTTACATGAGGGGCAGCCGTTCAGAGCAAATTGAATTGAATCTCTCCTTATCTCTGCTTCTCTCCCTCTGCTCTCAGCACTGACTGAGAGGAGTCAATGGCCAGGAGTGGATCACGTCTTCCTGTTGTCATGGATACAAAGGCTTTGGTCTCTGAGGAACTAGGGCCACTTAGGATGGCAAAGTGATTTTGGACTCCTTTTATGGGTCTTTAGGCTGGTTTTTTAGTAAACCTCTGGTGATGGATAACAAGGAATTAGACCGATTGAGAAGATCCTGGAAGTACAGATACAGTTGTCTACCACACAAAGCTCATCTCTCCCCTGGGGCTCAATCCAACTTTTTAGAGAGTGAGGAATTATAACACATTTGTGTCAGGTAGAAAACATGTGTTTATCGCAATATATAACTGTAGCAAAATAGTAAAACCATAAGCACAACAAACAAAAATTTCTACGCCTTTCAAGGCTAAAGATGAAAGAATTTAATTATCACTTCTCAATGAGAGCACCAAACAAAATTGAATCCACACCTCAGATGAGTTTTTTTTTGTGTGCAGTTTTGTCACCCTCTCTAAAACACACAAAAACAGCCCTCAAATTTAGCACTGCTTTCAATTAGACCTCCAAAGCTAAATGACGGCACAATAAGAAGCTCATACAATTTAAATGTGGCATGTAGATAAAAAGCCTCAGTTCCTTTCATCTACAGTATGTGATGTGTCTGGACTGCACAGGAGGTGCAACGGACAAGGAGGGACAAAGCACTGAAATAAAATACGCACAAACACAATTAAACAGGTGTGTAGAGCAAGTAAACAGACAGATGCATTGAGATTGATATTCCTGTATCTGTGGACAGATTTTCACATCAATGAGAGCAAAGCTAGGCATGAAGTGAGCAGGCAGGAGGAATCGGGGAATCAAAGTACCCTCCAGGGACACAGCAAGCATTTGTTTTTGTTTTTTTTGACAGGGTGCGCTTTTTTTAGGCCACAAGCTTTGTCAAATCTTGTTAATCTCACTTGGATCTGTTTGCAATGCAGCCAGATCCTTAGAAAAGGAAAAAAAAACAAAAAACACTGTTGCTGCACAAGGGTTTTCAGTCATTTAAAAGGAAAATCAGACATGCCATGCCCCTATCGAATGTTTTGACATTAGAATTAGACCTCAGGAAATAAGTTTTACGTATTAAATATAATTGTGGTTGTAGCGACA